TGGAATACCTTTGGATTTTGGACTGTTCTGACAAAAAAAGAAAACTCTCAGTCTCAGTTTTCTATCAATGTTATCAATACTTGAACAGCTATAAATATCTCATTATTAGCCCTGATTACTCTGTCATGAATGGTTCAATTCATGCATGTCATGATTGGGTAGGATTTTCATGATCCCGTTTTCGATAATATTCAACATTTCTAAACCCAAAACTGTCAAGGAGGACCAGATTATTGAATACTTAATGTCCAAAGACTATCTATGAAACTATTTTGAGTTATGCAAACAAATCGCAGGTTTTGTCTTCCCTTTATCAACTATTATTTATAGAGATCCTTAACATTCCTTCTGTGTGTTAAGATAATGCACTTATGCAGAGCAATGTAGTCCAGCATTTGGATCAGCTTGAATTCAAAGTTAAAATCAACAACAGAATCTCCTCCCTGATGTAGGAGCTTTGCAGAAAAGCTAAAGCATGAATTGGACAGTAGAGCAAACATTACGTCATTGTAATCTATACTCACTATGACAAGAGATAAAAGAACCTCTTGCCTTTTTTTTCCCTTTTTTTTTTTACCTGACTCCCAACATTTACACTAGTGGTCCAGAGCGGTGCAGCTTCATCCAATCACGTCCCTTCACAACTCTTCCTCACACTCTCTGTGCTGGTTACCAAGGAGACAGTGTGAAGGGAAGTCTGGGAAGTGGAGCAACGGTTTGGCATGAGTGTTTTTTTATTATTTTATTTATGTTCTTTCGCTTTCAACATCTTGGGAATGGACTAATACTACCTGGACTGTAAACAATTGTGTCATATTACAAGTTAAGGAAGTGAGACAGAAGTGCTGAAGAATTCCTCTACAGGGTGCATACATGTAGAAGAGCACTCGTGTCACCTGACTCCCACTGTCCCACATGTTCTCACCATTTTCTCTCTCTGTGATCCAACAATTCCTGGCAGGATAGGAGTACGTTTCATCTTGCCAGGAGTCTGTCAGCATTGTCAGGAAAAGTGTGAATTTTCGGAGGGCTCAAACCAACTGGAGAGCGTTTAAAATAATGAGTTGACCTTGCTCCAAGTGTGTGGGGGGAGGGGTGGGCTTGCTGGGACAAAGAATGCTGATCAAATATAGTCAGCTGTCATGTCAAAGAGGTGCTTCAGGGTGCTTCTATCCTGTGCTGTACTTGCACCTGTAAGCAGGATTGGGTGGGTAACCTTAAAAATGCATTCCTTTACAATTAGTTACCTGTTAAACATGTAGTAAGTAGTCTATACACCAACAATGAAACACATGAGCACATGCTACAGTTTAAAAAAGCAGAAATAAAAGCTGAGCTGACAGAAAATGCTCTGTTTTAGTTTAATCCATACAGTTAGACTCACACACACTATTTTATAAACATATAGTTTCACCTACTGAATTAAAAAAAGGACAAATTAACCAAAGAAAACCATAAAGCAAATTCAGGCAGCAGGAGTATATATTCACACTTAAAGTATTAACCTACAGAGCTTACAAAGAAGAAATAAAATCTGCCCCTTTTACAACAAACACTAAATGCTCAATACTAAAACATTTCGTTACAATGTTATCCTGCAAGCAATCCCCAATATCTTGAAACGTAAAAGTAATCTGATTACGTCTTTTTCTGACACAACCGTAAAGGAATACCTTTTTGTATCTCCTGATTACGTAATACTGTCATCCGTTACCCCCCAAGCCTGCCTGTACACACACCCCAAAATACTTACACACTCCTTGACCTTTTCCTCACCTCCAATCCTCCCCATTATTCACATTTGTCAAGAAGGCGGAGAAAAAGAAATGGTGCATTCACATTTGATATCTTTGCTGCAAATTCAGCACCTGCTTCTCTGCTAAATGTGTGGCTGCTGTTCTGTCATCCGTCGGGCCCTCTGTGTCTTTCAGAGTGGGTTGTAAATTCAGCATGAGTTCTTTTTGTTGTCCCGAGCAGCCTGGAGGGGGGTTGAGTTGGGGATTCAAGCATCTGGGTCTGCTGCAAGTTTTGTGCTGTCGCAGCACTGGAAGTTATGGTATAGATGCAGGAACCTGGCAGTTTAAGATATATATTTCTAGGAAGACTGGGAGTAGGGGAGTTGGGGAGGCTAGGAGACCAACCATGAATCTGGATCATGACCTATAGCATCTCTCTTCAAGTGTGTGTGTGACTAGACGTCTCCATACTAGATGTCTTGAAGCTTCACCAGGCTCTTAGCTCACTTAGTTCCCCAGGGTATTTTTCAGACTGCCCTCTGCCATCAGACACAGAGACAATGCTCCTTCTCATATATGTAATAAACAGTATGCTGCATTGCCGTACAGTACGTTTGCTAAACCTCTGCTTCTCTCCTCTGCTTTTACTTTCTCTCTAATCCCCCTCTTGAATGATTTATTTGAAGGGTGAAACTAGGTAAACACAATATGGCTGACACACTCATCTACACCCCCTGACCTCCTCTGCTTCTCTTCCTCTCTCTGTCTTATCTATTACCTTCTCTCCGTTTCTCTCTTCCCTTCCATCCTCCTTCGTTCTCTTTATTTTCTTCGGGCCTGCCCCTCCAGCTCCAGTGTCAGCACTTCTCCTCTCACCATGAGCGTGTCGCTGTGCTTTATGAATAAATCGGAGTGTGTTTGACTCCAGCAATCCCCAACTGCTCACGAGCCCCCGCTGCTCCTCGCGACCAAAGACAATTTGACAGGCTTTGATTTTTACAATGTGTGTAATGCGCTAATCTGGGGATTAGGTTCATATTAAAAATGCCATCCCCATAAGGAAGGTACCTGATTTAATAGTTTAATATTGTTTATTTGCTTATAATAGTCTTCGTTACCATATAATGAACCGTCTAATTTCAAAGAATACAGAGCATATTGTTTTCTTTCTGAGTGTAATGTCAAAATGTAGACATCAATATCATGTCTGTGCATTAGCTGTTGTGCTAGCTAGCTTAGCACTAAGACCGTTAACAGGAAAAATTGTGGTTTGTCACAAAGTTGTATAGGACACACATTACACATTTTGTTACATGTGATGGCCATGTTAGTACATGGCCATTTTAGCTTACATGCTAACGCATCAACCATTGATGGAAAGCGGCTATCTTCTTATTAGCTAGCTAGCTAGCGACTGTTGAGCTTGCAATAAGGAATCACCAAGTGTTGTTTAGAATTGGAGGGTGAGTGCTAAGCTAGCTGTTGATGGTCAGAGCATACTTACAAACCATGGCTGCTAGTTAGTTTTGCGTTCAGCAGGCTTCAGAGGTCTAATAAAGCCCCCTAGTCACAGTATGTATTGACTCCAGGTCCTATGGCTGTGAGGAAAACATGACATTTGGTCGAACACAACAACGTTGAAAATTGAATATATAATAAATGAATATATAATAAATGAAATAAACAGGGATATGGTCCACTATTATAATTTATAAACATGCAACACATACAGTTCATATGCTCTCCTAAAAGCCACCACACTTTGATGAGTTTGAGAGAAAGACTGGAGAAACAGATATAAAAAAAGGAAAGATGTTCACTACTGGCAAGGGTAAAGGAGTTTATTGCTTGTTTGTAATGTAAAAAAGTTGCGTGTTTGATGCTGTAAGTATTTTTTTGACAAAGAACAGTTTATATGTTTGCCCAGCATTTCTTTGCTGGTTGCCAGGCAACATCACTCTAAAGACACTGACTGCGAGGGAAGTTGCTGCTCTCAGCCATTGTTCACCAAGATATGGTTACACAATGTAACTCGTTCTAAAACCACTTATCGACGCTTTGCACACCCTTTTGTGTATGGATAAAATAGCATATTAATTGTTGGTAGGCAAACTTCTGAGCTTTAAAAGAGAGTGTATACAGATGAAACCATCTATAAACGTTGCTCCATCCTCGGTTGGACCTCAGCAGGTTCAATCCTGCCGGGAGGTCTCTGTGTTGATTAGGTGAAAGTGTGTCATAAATGTACCGTACCCTTGTCACATTGTCTAGAGTATTTTTGCAGGCCAACCTGGAATTGAGCATCCCTAGGGCTCCCTTGACAAAAATAAATGGGATTCTTTTGTTGGATTTTGGAATATTGCAGAAAATAAGATCTGTGGAAAACACAAGTTCAAGATACTAACTCGTTTCATGTTGTTAAAATCTTGTAAGGTTCGATTATCCACAGATTTTAATGCGGGAATCTTACCAAATCTCATAAAAGAAGAAGTTGACTGGGCATTGTAGCGCAGTAACACATTTTCTAAATCAGAAATCCTTTATTTGACCCGCAACGAGGAAATGTACATTATTACAACAGCAGAGAGAAAAATGGCTAAGTATGTACAAGTTATTATAACACAATAAGTACACAACTTAAAGAAAATAGCAGATATGTACACCATGGTAATAAACGTGAAATTGCAGATGGGTATATTGCATGAAGTTTCATATTTACAGACAGTGTTGTTGCACATCAGGGGTATTCCAGTCGATGTGAGTGGGGGGTCTACCAGGGGCCATGGTGGTTGTATAGCCTGACCGTTGCAGGAAGGAATGACCTAGACCTAGTTACGCTAGTTAATGACATGCTTGTACATTTTACATTTATCATAGTGCTAACGCCTTCAAGTGCTAGTCCTATTTAGTCACTTTTTAGCAACAGCTTTTTTTTTTTAAACTGAGAAGTTTCAAACATCCACAATAAGTGGTATTTACAGACATATTTTTAGTCATTCAAATCTCGGAAAACTCGTCTAGACGGATCATTGACATTGAGGAGAAGTGTTAAAAAGCGAACTAATTTCCGTGTATAAGACTCATTCCTGCACCACTCTCTTGGAACCAGCTGCAATGCTTTGAGCTGATAGACCTTTGGCTCCAACTCCAACAATTGAGAATTGAGATTGATATCGATCTCATCATCTCACTTTCAGAAATAGAGCCAAAAAAAACCGAAAGACATGTGATTAAAGTTGTTCTCTCCTTTCTTTGTTTCCCTAGATGCAGATACTTGACAAGTTCCCAATTGAGGGAGGGCAGAAAGACCCAAAGAAGAGGATCATCCCATTTCTCCCAGGTAACAGTGTGCTCCAGAGCTCCCAGTTATCTGAACAGGCTCCCATATTAATAATGTATGGCTGGGAGGGGGGGGGTCAATAAGAGCTGGTTTACTGATGCCTACCTGTGCTGCATGTGTGTGTACGCATGTGTTGTTACCCTGTTAATGCTGACTCGCCACTTTCTGTGACTTTCAAATTCCAGCTGTTTTTGCATGCAGGCATGTTTGCCAGTGTGATTTATTTTTCCCGATCAATTTGAATGTTGTGTCTTTCTGGCTGACATTGTGTGTGTGTGTGTATGTGTGAGTGTCCCAGCATTGATTGGAGTCCTTCCACACATGCTTGTCTCTGCTGCTGTAAGTCGGCGGCTGACATTCAGGCTCATGGCGACCTACAGAGTGGCAGTGATCGATGGTGGTGTTTGTGGAGGTGCAGCGTCGGGGGCAGAAGGGCTGACAGCGATTCTGCTAATCACAATCATGTCCTGTGTGTGTGTGTGTGTGTGTGTGTGTGTGTGTGTGTGTGTGTGTGTGTGTGTGTGTGTGTGTGTGTGTGTGTGTGTGTGTGTGTGTGTGTGTGTGTGTGTGTGTGTGTGTGTGTGTGTGTGTGTGTGTGTGTGTGTGTGTGTGTGTGTGTGTGTGTGTGTGTGTGTGTGTGTGTGTGTGTGTACACCTGTGTGTTTGCCATGCACATTTCTGCAGATTTATTTGGTATTAATATGTCTGTTTACTGCGGTTTATTTGAGTTGATGCTCTGTTTAAGCCCTGCAGCTGGTTGCAGCATCTACTGTAAAAGCTCTTCCATCTCCCCTCTAGCCCTCCTCCTCTTTCCCTCTTTTTCTGACACACACATTTGGAAACCACCTACCTCTTTTCTATGAAGACAGATGCAAACATTATTGACTGTCTGTGTTCGGTTGAGGATAGACTCTTCTCCCCTGCATGTATGACACTTGGGGGATTCAATAAAGGACTAACTTTCTATTATGGGGCATCAACTGAAATGAAAATGTTGCCTTACAGAGATATCTTGGTATCTAGGGCTGGGTATTAAACCTCAGCACTATTTTTGCTACTAAACAAAAGGGCCGGGGTGGTTGATGTTCTTAAGGTTAGTGTTGAATGACTTTGGTAAATCAATCAGACAATCAAATTGTATTAATACAGCCCAATATCACAAACTATACATATGTCCCAGGGGGCTTTACAGTTTGTACAGTATACGACACCCTCTGTCCTTAGACCTTCGCATCATACAAAAAGAATCTCCCAAAGAAACCCTACAATTAAAATATTTCTTTTTGAGAAAAACCTCTTAAAGACAAACTGAGGAGAGATCCCTCTTCCAGGACAGACAGATATGCAGTAGGTGTCATGTGTATATATTACAAAATATCCAAATATTAGAAAATAATATAATGTGTCTATATATAAAACATGGAAATGAAGATAAATCCAGGTGGATGTAAATCTTCTGGGTGCCTCCGAGAGTAGTTAGTTGATTTGTAAAAAACGGAAATGAGTTTGCATTTGACCACTTCCAGTTCCCTCGTCTTAAAGTCAACATTTCTTAATTTAAAAGTGTCTTTGGTCAGATGCCTGAAATAAGGTCTGTGCAAGCTAAAGAGATGTTCACAATTCGTTTAAGTCGTGAAATACGTCAGTAAACACGCCACTGGCAAATGTCTGAAGCTTCTATTTGTCTTAAAAACGGTGGTTGCATAAATACCTTAGTTAATGTTACCCTCCAAAATGTGTAACCATTGAATCGTTGACACTTTTCAGAAAACTCTGATGTTGGTTAAAAAAAACATATTGCATAAGTAGAGCTCCTTAAATAGGAGATCCATATACGCTTTTCTACGCTTGCAAAAATGAGTGCAGACTAGGGTAGGGTAGTGGTGGTGTGTCTTCGATGCTCCCCCTGCGTGGGATGAATGCAGCATGACCCATGTGTGTTCAATCCTATTTGTTATTTTAAAAGCCATGTCACAGGCAGAGGTCATGGAATCCATAGGAGGACAGCTGGGGCCTTGAGTCAGGGGCTGAGGCTGCTTTTGAACCACCAGCATAGATTACTGACATCTGCTGCTGGGCTGGGGGAATACATTCAGCGATACCTCACAGCTGGTGTATTTGTAGGGATGTATGTGTGATTATTACACCTCTTAGTTGAATACTTGCTTCTGATTGGTCAATCTGGACAGTCAGTGGTCTGTTCTCTTTTGATAGCAGACTGCAGCTAAGGACGCTCTTATCTTATGTGCAGTCATATCAATTGGCAGAAATGTTATATCAGCTGTGGCCAAAAATATATCAGTTTCCCTCAGTCAAAAAACATAATTGAATACCATTAAGTTTCATATTTGTGAAAAGTAGGAAACGTTGGCTTTGTTGGCTGAACTGTCCCCAGTAAAAAGAGAACAAGAAAACAAGAGAGGTTAAAAGACTAAAATCAGCAGAAGACAGACAGCTAGTAAACACTAATAGGAACAGCAGAAGAAGACAATACAGGAAGTAAACACTAAAGGGAACAGCAGAAGACAGACAGGAAGTAAACACTAAAGGGAACAGCAGAAGACAGACAGGAAGTAAACACTAAAGGGAACAGCAGAAGACAGACAGGAAGTAAACACTAAAGGGAACAGCAGAAGGCAATACAGGAATTAAAAACTAATGGGAACAGCAGAAGAAGACAATACAGGAAGTAAACACTAAAGGGAACAGCAGAAGACAGACAGGAAGTAAACACTAAAGGGAACAGCAGAAGACAGACAGGAAGTAAACACTAAAGGGAACAGCAGAATACAGACAGGAAGTAAACACTAAAGGGAACAGCAGAAGACAATACAGGAATTAAAAACTAATGGGAACAGCAGAAGACGACAATACAGGAAGTAAACACTAAAGGGAACAGCAGAAGACATACAGGAAGTAAACACTAAAGGGAACAGCAGAAGAAGACAATACAGGAAGTAAACACTAAAGGGAACAGCAGAAGAAGACAATACAGGAAGTAAACACTAAAGGGAACAGCAGAAGACAGACAGGAAGTAAACACTAAAGGGAACATCAGAAGACAGACAAGAAGTAAACACTAAAGGGAACATCAGAAGACAGACAGGAAGTAAACACTAAAGGGAACAGCAGAAGACAGACAGGAAGTAAACACTAATAGGAACAGCAGAAGAAGACAATACAGGAAGTAAACACTAAAGGGAACAGCAGAAGACAGACAGGAAGTAAACACTAAAGGGAACAGCAGAAGACAGACAGGAAGTAAACACTAAAGGGAACAGCAGAAGAAGACAATACAGGAATTAAAAACTAATGGGAACAGCAGAAAGAGACATACTTGAAATAAAGACTAAAGAGAACAGCAGAAGAAGACAGACAGAAAGTAAACACAAAAGGGTTTAAAGACTGGTTATTAGAAAATAACATTTTAACAGACTTGGACATTTATAAAAACCTTGATCAGCATTGCCGTCATTTTAAGTTACGACTCAGTTCAACGGATGACTTTTTCTTAGATTGAGCAAAACAGTAATTCTTCTATCAATAAAATCATGTTCAAATCAATATGTTGTGTCAAATTAATGATTTATTTAGTAAGTTGCTGTGTAATAAGACGGATGATTTTCAATCAGCGAAAAGAACCCTTTCAGTGGTGACTCAGGTCCTGTTAACCCTGTCAGATTCTTCCATCCCTTTTCCATCTTTTCTGTCTGTTAACTCCTCTACCTTTCCATCTATCATCACCATTTCCTTCACCTCCTCCTGATTTGTTTCTCCTTTCCCTCCCCTTCAGGCAAAATCCTGTTCCGGAGGAGTCATGTGCGAGACGTGGCCATGAAGCGGCTGCGTTTCATCGACGACTACTGCAGGGTAAAGAGACCTTTACTGTAAACATCCTTCAGTTCCTCATCTGACTCTGGGGAATGTCCTTCAGCCTGCGAGGGGTCAAAGGTCCTTTCACAAGCTCTAAACACAGCACATTGAATCAAATGTGGACGTTGAAACCTTTAACTCGCACTAAAGAGTTTGGTATCTGAGATCATCTGAGAAATCTTAAGAGTGGTGCTGCGTCTCATATTGCATGCATCTGTACTTGCACTTGCTGATATAAATGCATAAATGTGTCACAATGTGAAGTATGGCATGATGCACCACGAGTACCCAGATTGTGCCCTCGTAACGGTCCAAACATTTAGTGAGAAACACACTTTGCACACTCCACGACCGGCATTTTGGCTACATAACGAAATTACGTGATTTGCTAAGGGACGGGACATTTCCAACACATCTCTAAGCAGTTGACCAATCACAACAGAGCCGGCCAGCTAACCAATCAGAGCAGACTGGGCTCTGGTTTCAGACAGAGGGTGAAAAGAGGTGCTGCAGCACAGGCAGTATGAGAAAAATAAAGAGCTTTCTGAACATTAAAGCATGGAGACATGTCACAGTAGAGACACTAACACCTGAACATGAGCATAATGTCCTCTTTAAGTAATGTAGCACTATACTGATGGAAAAAAAAAAGCCACTGTTATTTTTATAGGGTAAATTTGGTACAGCGAACAATTGTTGATAGCAAGCTATCTAGCTAGCTTACATATTGGATCATCACTTCTGGAGCTGCTTTTAATTTTTTTATTAAGACAACACTACACAGTCAGAGTTCACTGCAAGTGCTCTGAGTGCAGGCCATGGCAGTTTACTTAGGGAAGTATCAGATTTGAGACACAGCATCAGTAATGTGCTCTTACACTTCAACTCTCTGAGGGTGCAAGAGCCCCGGCTCGGTGGGGAAATGTTATGATCTTTTCCTCCTACAGTCAAAGGGGGTTGTTTGTTTTCATGTGTGCCACAGTCAGAGAAGTGGGGCGACCTAGTTGTGCATCAAACTTATCCGTCACTGCACTACATGAGACAGACTTTGAGCCCTTCCATTATTTTCAAAGTCACGCTCACTAACGGCCATTTCCCCTCGTTTGCCACACTTAGTAAAGAAAGTTCTCCTCCAAATTAACGCCACCTTCCCAAAGGACGAAGAAACCTTGGAAATGGCAGCCTTTTGTCATTCTTTATTTCAAGGGAGACTCGCCTTGTCACTTCCTGTTCTCCCTTTTGTTAGTGTTTTATTTGATTTATGCCAGATTCAGATCCATTCATCCCAACATGTCCTTCCTTCCTTCCTCCTTTCCTCTGGTAGGAAGAGGGTGCATAAAATCAAATGTTAGATTGTTTCTATACACACAATTAGGAGGCAGAATTGTTGCCAAGCATTAGGAAAAGGTTAGCCCCAGAATTGGCTCAGTAATTGGAACCAAAAAAAAAGTTTGAAACCGAAATGCAATCACACACATCTGAAATGAACCTGATCCTTAGCTCAGCACACACAAAGGCCTCCTCATTACCCAAATAACCTGAAGCACTCTTATTTCTACAGTTGCTATAGCGAGACTGTTTTTTACCCAGTGTGCCGCACTGTTTACTTCCTGCATCCTGTTTATGAGGCAAACACGAGTAATTACTCCGTGTTCTCCAAGGACCGGCTCTGTGGAGATTGCAGGATGCTGAGTCCGGTGCACAGTGAGATACGGCCTCTTCAATCACGACCACAACAAGGCCCTTTCTCGCTCTATATATAATATATAGGATCTGATAAATGAAATATGAAGGCAGCTTGGACCGTGGTGATTGAAAAGGAAAGTCTGTACATACGTTATGGTCCAGCACCTTTGCTCTGTACATGAGCTGATGCATCATTAAATATAGATGGTTAGTCAGACATGTGATCCTCTCTTTGACTGCAGAGGGCCTTTATTAATGAACATACAGCAGTGGGAGGATGCTTTTGACCATTTGTGGAACTATACCTACTCCTGCACATTGAGACACAATTATTTTCCTAAAAAAGCCAAAAAATCTTCGGAGGCTCTGAGATGCAAAAGAGAACATTTCTCTCCTGTGTTTATGACTTCTTAGTAAGTGAACAGTATTGGTGATGTATTGTAATTGAAGCCCCTGTTCTTGACTTCTTTAAATCCTAACCTTGACACGGTTTTGAATCATATTCATCATTACGTTTCTAGTTATTTTCACCATAAGATTTGAGGTCTTTGGCCAAAATGTTTTTGGATAACTCGTATATATATATATATATATATATATGCTATAGAAAAAGATTTTGCTAGAATAAACTTTTTTGATTTCATGCTATGAATTTCTTTCATCTGAAAAGAAAATGTGGGTAAAACTGTTTATTTTAATTTTTTACTTGATGTAATATTAATTGAGTTTCCATAAAGTAAAGTTGGAACTGCAGAATTGGGTGATAATGCTCTGTTGGTTACAACATTTGATATATTGTAAATACAAAAACATTTTCTATAAACATGTTTGACCCCTTGTTCTCTCTCTGTCTCTGTCTTTAGGCGCTGGTGCGACTCCCCCCTCAGATCTCTCAGAGTGAGGAGGTCCTGCGCTTCTTTGAGACAAAAGCCGAGGACGTCCACCCCCCTGTGGAGTGAGTGTCATACACTGCACTGTGCATACACAAAGACACAGTACACATGTACACATACTCCATGTATAGACTAATCCACCATCGGATATGTGTAGCTATGCCATCATTATTGCTGTGCTAAACTCACCTGAATACACTTTTACGGCCAAACACAGAAAACTACGGTGGTCGACAGGACCAACGGCCCAAAACACTTACATTTGGAGAAACTTGCTGCACTTGCAAAAACTTTGCATATAAAAGAACAAAAATACATATGCAAATGAAAATACATCTTCACCAACTTGAGAAAACATGTGCAGCATTTACTAAAAGCACTGCCTAAACGGAATGCTGCAAATACAAAATGCTGCAAGAAGCTCAAAACACAAAAGAAAGAGGGTCACTAAAATAAGATGCACACAGCTGGGACCGGAGCGCTTGTTGATGTTTGAGGATTATAAAGTTGCCAAGTTTAGTCAAATAGGTGAATGTTTTCTAAATGTTGCGTATGTGTTGTCTAGTTGGTTAAGATGTTTCTTAATTTGCTTGTATTTTTATATTTGCATCCTTTTTAAAAGTGCAGCGCGTTCTATATCGTATAGGCTTCGCCCTCTAAGGCTATCGCTATTGGGTAATCCCACTGCGCATGCGCAGCACTGACAGACTTAATCCACGCCCACCTATCACGTGGGCCCCACCTACGGACTCACTTCCGTATAAATAGGAAGGAGGCCCGACGATCTGCTCCCATTTTTCTTCAGCACTGCGTTGCAGAAGCACTGTCAGGCACAAGCTCTTTTCAGAGCTGCAGGCTAAAAAGCAAAGATCCCTCTTCTAAAAAGCTTTTGTTCCAATTATTAAGATGCCAAACAGGATACATTATGAGTTACGACCGACGCTCACGGTGTGAGTCCTGCCTGGGTTTGGAGCACGCAAACGCGGCTCTCACTCCCCAGGTGTCGTGCACTCATTGTGTCCGTCTCCCTCTGGCCCACAGACAGTGGAGAGCGGACGCCGAGGATGATTGGCTAGTCCAGGAGTCTTATGCGCACAGCCTTAAGGCGTTGCACGGAGGAATGACAGTGGAAGACATTTGCAGTGCTGCATCTTGGTCTTCCCCCTGTTCTTTTATTTGAGGGATGTCTCCCATTCCTCTCTGACACACTCAATACTGAGTGTCCTGTCAGAGTGAGAAATGTCGGGGACTCAACTGTGCCCTCTCTCCTGCCTGTCGGCACTCAGAGAGCTGCCCTTTTTCCCTCTTTTATCGTTTTTAATAAGTAGGTCTCTATTTTTTATAACGACAGGTTTTTACCTTCATTCCCTTATGGAGGATATTCATTTTTTAAATGCTATATTTCCAGGGACTGTGATGCTCCATTACGCATTTACTGTCACCTCTCGGCCACTGTAGATGACGGTAAAATCAGTGTAAACAATCAAAAAGCTGGGAAACCTCAAAGATAAAGTGAAACAAGACAAGGCACGAGGAGAGAAACATTTTCAAAGTAATACAGGAAACACAAAAACAAGATCATGACACACACATACAGTATCTAAACTTGTTGAAGTAATCACTGCTTTGGTTACACATAATTGCTCTGATGCTAATATACCTAGCACACACACTGTTTCATTTTGTGGGTCTTAGCGTCTTTTGCATGTCATTGTTTCACACATCGGCCCAGAACTTCAGCATGGTTTGAGCGTGGCTAAGCTCATTAACTTTCCGCCTGTTCCCACTTTCTAGTCTATTCCCAAATCAGGTCTTTCTCTTCGAGTTCGTTAAAACCTCCAACAAGGCCGGGCTGACTGGGGGGTGTGGGGTTGCGAGATGGAGAGGATTTGATGGATGTGAATTTTGGGAGGACGAAAATGACTTGTTTCATAGCAGGAGATAGCCCCTTTGGGTAGTTTTTAATTAGAGAACACACTCTCCTCTCCAAACCTCATAGCAGTATCGCACCATTCATTTATAATGTGTTACTGTATGCATAGAGACAGCTGTACCCGAGGCCCTGTAACTCTGGTTAGACCTAGGATATGTCTTTTTTTGGTGTTTTAATTACTTTTCTCAGTATTTTCTCCTCTGCTCCTTTACTGTCAGTCTGTAGTTTTGTCCTCTGATTCTTTCCTCTTGGTAGATAGGAAAGGAACAAAGCAGGCAGGATTTAGTGACCTCTGCCTGCCAGTGTTTTTCAGCAAAGTGTAATAGGGTATCTCTGCCTATCGCCCTTCCTCCTCTAATTCTTGGTGTCCAACACGGCCTCATAAATTCAAACAAACGCCAATGCGGGTATTTTTTGATCAACATCTTTCGTTTCCTCGCTGTACACAGCTCTGTACACAGCTCTGTATACAGCTCTCCATCATGCCGGTGTTCTCATTTCTCTCTTACTGTCTTTCTGTCTCTTTTGACTTATGCCCTTCATCTCTTCCTATCCTTTTATTATTTTTCCCCATATGCATCATTCTCTTTTCCTTCTCCAACTCTCTTGTCACTGACTCTCTCTATGTATTTTGTAGCATAAATGAATAAATCTTGTTGTGAGGAGTCGTGGCAGATGAGGTCGTATACACATATGATGTGTATACATGCCAGCCCTATTTATCAATCACACAGTAGTGCACAGACAAATTGGGAATATTTCATTTTCAGCTAATTTTAACATGTAAAGGAATTTAAGGATTTCATCAAGAAATTCAGAAACACAGTAAATCCGACATATACATGTAATGCTAGCCAAAGTACCCACAAATGAATGTATAACAGTTGTATTTTAAACTTGGCTTACAATACCGTGTTGGTTAGCCTACTGTAAGATGCCATGTATTAACACCCGCGTTTATGATGAATATAATACTATGTATTCAAATATGAATACATAGTCGTGACGCACAAAGATACTTTGGTAACAGTAGCGTTGATGATAAAAAAAATTATGTCTGCTAATATGTTGGATTTATGTTACATTACATTACATGTCATTTGTTAGACGCTTTTATCCAAAGCGACTTACATACATTCAGTTCTGTGGACAATCCCCACAGGAGCAATTTGGGGTGAAGTGTCTTGCCCAGGGACACAACGACATGCTGACTGCAGTGGGACTCGAACTTGCTACCCCCTGATTCGAAGTACAGCATTCTATCCACTTAGCCACAGCCGCCCCATTATGTGTATTCTGGGACATTGTTTTGTTTTTGAAAAATAACGTATTATCGAGCAATATTACGATGGCCACTCTACAGAATTTTACAGTTAAACATTGGGAGCCAATATTAAAGAACCATGCCCTAAAGAGAGCATTTATAGAAAAAATAAAGGGTCTAAGGATTGACCCTTGAGGAACTCCACAAGTCAGAGCAGCATCATGAGTTTCTTTATCAGCATGGCATCCAGAGAACTAGTAATTACAGGGTGCGTACGGGTGCTGGAAATCCTTGAAAATGCTTGAAATTGTACGAGGTGTTTTCAAGGTTTGAAAAGTGCTTGAATTTTAGGAATGGTACTTGAATTTGGGATAAAGTGCTTGAAATTGTAAATGCTTTACTTCGCTTTTTAGATTAAAAGAAAATAAAGAAGTCGGAGCGCGCTTAATTGCTTCGCTTTTACATAAAACAGCTCCGCTCCGGCCTTCCCGCGCAATGCGCGTGACCGGCAAGTGTTTTTGTTACGTGTGTGACCTGGGCATTCTGATGAGAGTGATAGATGACAGTATGCCAGGAGGTTGCCGTTTCAACGAGCGTTGGCTAGCAGAAGACAAATACAAGCCATGGCTAAGACGAGGGTCAAGCGAAGCCCAAGAGTAGCCTCCTGCAAAGTGTGCAACAATAACGATGCGAGAGAGCATTTTAGATTAGGCTATCGTTGCATGTAAAATACATGACACTTTTCTCTGTGCGCGGCAAAACAAGCTCGCCAAAATGGCTTCACTAGTCTGGCAGTATTTTAAGTGTCCGAAAATGACAATAAAATAGCGGTATGCAACGTGTGTGTGAAGCAGAAATCCTGCAGCTCCACCCGCTGTGACGGACCGGTGAGCGGAGCAGAACACACATTAAGAGTTAGACCTAACACACTTAGCTATTTGATCTACCTCTGGAACAAGCTAAACTAGTTATAAATATATTTATTCTTCACTGTCGGGTCGCTCATTACTGGATCAGTGAGCTGCAGGAGATACTGACGGGCTGTCAGGAGAAAGAGAGAGGAAAAGAGAGCGATATCGGTATCGGCCGATACTGATTCCGGCGATCGGCTCCAAAATTGGCGATTAGCATCCCTAATAATTGTATATGATATGTTTTATAATGATTGATCATGAAAGTGTTATCAAAGCTGGTAAAGGTGCAGCTAGTTTGAATGACTTTGTATACTACAGAGTAGCTTGTGAATTTACTCCAGGTGGAACTAAAGTCTGATTTAACACTTGATTATATTTCACATCATTCATCCACATCTGTAAAGTAACTAAAGGTATTAAATACATGTAGTGGAGTCAAAGTACAACATTTACCTCTGACTTGTGTTTACTGCCAACCTAAAAGTACCTCAAAAATAGTAATCAATAATATATTGAAAAGTTATTTGGCTGATTGTTTTATATTGGCTCAGCCAGGTTATATGGGATGCCCAGTCTACGTACAGATGGGTCTCATTTTGAAATATTAAACTTAGTTTTCTTTTCTAACATTTTTAATTTTTCATCCTCATGTAGAATGCTATTATGAAACACACATTTGGTTGTTTATAGCATAAAGAACATCTGATTTAATGTGAGGTAAGGAAATAATCATTTGAGTATAAGTATGTGTATATAAATATGTAATTTACAACAGCTGTAAGATGCTTGAAAAGCTTGAAAATGCACCTTGAAAATGCTTGAAAAGTGCTTGAATTTGACTTTGGAAAAGGTGTAAGAACCCTGTAATTAGAAACATTTATAAATCATTATATAAATAATAGATTAAAACTGCAACTTTCAACAAGATTGGACTACAACAAGACCTTAACC